TAACCTTGTAAATATCTTCTTTAAATTGACACACTCTGTGTTTATAGGTCATCGGTGTTACTGATGTTAACAGAAGTAAAGAGAAGGGCTATGAGACACTAGTGAAAGAGGGATTTTGTGAAGAGGTTTGACATTAGATCTGATTTTTCTGTGATGGGGATAGCATGTTTTCTCTGGGACATTTTTGTCCTTCATACTGTAAACTTCTTATTATCCTTGGTGTTATTTCCATCTGTGCACAGCTGGATGAGCTGAGACAAATATATGAGGAATTGCCAGAATTTCTGGAAAAGGTGCTCATTAGAGTATAAACCATTTATTTGATGACCAATTGAGGTTTTCTGCAGCTATGTTTACATTAATTTGCATCCTCACAGGTGTCCTCATTGGAGCTCACACAACTTCCTCATTTGTGCAAAGAGAAGTTTGCTCCTTGTATTGTTTATATACATCAAATAGGTTGGTCTGTGCCACTTCAGCATATTCATATGTCAAAGTATTTCCTGTGGTATTAAACATATTTTTTCTCTACAGGAAGTACATCTTAATTTACATGCCATGATCTTATGTATTAGAGCTCAGAGTAGAGGACACTTTGCTTCATCATGCCTTTTTGCCTTTTTTGTCGATTGTAGGATATTTGATGTGTTTTTTTGGAGAGAAACCCGATGAAATCACACAAGAGAAATTTCAAGATTTTGAGTTTGTAGTAAGTTGATGCATGCATCATGTTGAAATGAATGGCTTGAGAAATTCTTAATTGTCTGAACATTAGGTTTCCAAGGCAAAGTAAGTTTATATTTGCATTAGATTTAAACGAATGTGTATATATCATCTAATTGGAGAATATGCTATGGAAACTCAGTTCTCTGATTCTGATGGGGAAACAATGAGATTCTTTTATCGGACACCAAAGACAAGAGAGTTAGATGATCTTCTTGGAGATATTTATCACAAAATTCTAGGTATGCTTTATAAATTGCTTCTCAATTAAGTTGTTAATGCCTGGCGTGTTGTATAATTACAATTTTTATCTTGTAACCCATTTCAATAAGGTATGTTCCAGCTCATGGTGCTGTTACATAGTAAAAGACTGCTTAATTAGAGAATCCATGTTAGTTAACGGGGGAACATAATATTTAGTGAATTTCTTTGTAAAATTTCTTATTTTTTAAATTCATTAATGAAGATATGGAGAGGGCAATTATCAGAGACTTGGTCTCACGTGTATTAATGTTCTCAACTTATCTGCATAAGGCCGTGAGCTTTGTGTCTGAACTTGATTGGTAAGAAAAAAAAAATGCTCATATCTCTATTTCACTATCTGTCTATCCTCTGTAAACATGTATTTCTGTGAGGTAGCTATGTTACTAACCATGATATCTTCACAATGATATTAGCTTTTTGTCATTGGCAATGGTTGCTCGCCAGAACAATTATGTGAGGCCTACTTTAACCATGGAAACGTTTCTTGATATACAAAATGGAAGGTAGGAACCATATACTTACAGTTTCACTCCATATTTATCTTAAAAAGACCTCCAAAAGGTTTTATCTTTCTTAAGGGTAGAATTAAGGACTTTTTTTCCAGAAAAGAATTAACAATGTCAAACTGGTCTACAGGCATGTTTTGCAGGAAATGACTGTAGATACATTTATCCCCAATGACACAAAGATTCTTGATGAAGGTAAATTGACTTAAAAGCTCAATTGAAGCATGTGAAATGTCAGGAAATTTTTCTCATCTAATTAACCTGTTCCAATAATACATTATGAAGTTCTTTTGTCCAAATTTTAAGGTTCTATGATTTTCAGGAAGGATTCATATCATCACTGGTCCTAATTATTCAGGGAAAAGTATCTACATAAAACAGGTCAGTTAGTGTGCTTTTCTAGATGAAGGATCTTTGTAAAAAGTGTGTTTCTATGTGCACATTTGCTGAGTTTTGGTGGATTTATCTAAGATGTACCTATTTATGTATATGTTTTCCCAAAAAAGTTTTTACTTGTGTTTGTAAGATTTCTTTTGATCTCCAATGTGGTTGTGTAACTTTTGTTAGAAACTGTTATCAAATTTGTTTGCCCTCAAACAGTGATTGGTGATAAATAGATTGATTATGTTTTGTATTCCTCAAGCTAGCCTGATGGTACTAACAGCATTTGTTTCGTCTTTCGTTGGTCTTACAGCAGTTTTTTCTTCATGGGCAATTAATTTTACATGTTAAATCCATGATACTCTGGAAATAACTACTTTAATAGTCTAATTTGTATTAAGCTACTTAGTTCACTTACAGTTTCCAAAAATTCACATATATAATTTCTCTTATAAATTGCACTTACAAATTTATGGTTTTCCTAGGTGGCTTTAATTGTTTTCCTTTCTCATATTGGAAGTTTTGTACCTGCTGACGCTGCTACAATTGGATTGACCGATAGGTATGTGCTGTGCTTGTTACTAACTTCTTTCTTAAAATTCTATATCTGTGTTTGTATTTTTTCCAGTTGGTCACGTCAACCATGTTCCCCATTTTCACAGGATATTCTCTGCAATGGGAAGCAAGGTTACGACTGCAGAACAGTCCACATTTATGATAGATCTACATCAAGTGGGAATGATGCTAAGGTATACTGGATAATAATGGTTATGATAACTACATAACCCTTATTAATCTCTAGCTTCACATGGCATCTTGTGATCATTCTTTTATGAAAGTTAAAGTGCATAATTAACTTTGTTTGGGTTGATAAGCAAGTAAATTTCCACTTTTTAGTGCATAATGTTGATAAATTTCACAGGCAGGCAACTTCACGATCTTTATGTTTGCTGGATGAATTTGGTAAAGGCACCCTAACAGAAGGTTGGCGTCTTCCTCCTAACTTTATCACACAGATATGCAATGTCTGGTTTTGCAGCATTGGAGTATATCCAACTGAGTTAATTATAACGTTTTGCATTCAGATGGCATTGGTCTTCTTGGTGGGACCATAAATCACTTTGTCACCTTCGATGTTCCACCCAAGGTTTGCTGATCTTCTCTTCCTTCCACCAAATTACCTGCTATTGTAAAAATCCGATGCGTGCATTTGAGCTATTACTAATTTACTATATTCTTAAGATTAAAGAGTACTGGCTGACAGCATAACCACTGTCAGTCTAACCTCGGCTACCAGTTTTGCTGTGATGTTTGTACCCTCATCTGGAGTTAAGCACTAAAATTGCATGGTGTAGCTTCTAAGTATTTAAATGAAGTATCTATAATCAAGTGTTTTTCTCAGCCTGTTTAATTACTTAGCTCTTGCATTTGGTTTTACATTTCATTTCCAAGCTCAGGGAGAGGCATATTTGAAAGTTGGTTGCAGATTTAAGTTAAACATAGCATTTGTGGTGGTTATAAAGTTATGAACGGATTTAAGCAAATTTGAGCAGTACGTGTTGAATGATTGGATGTGTATTTGCTGTAACAGTTATGAGAAATAATTAGCACTATGCTTTACTGCATTTCCAGGTTCTGGTGTGCACTCACTTGACTGAGTTATTTAATGAAAGTTGCTTACCAAAGGTACACATTGTGCATAGTTGCTGCCCAATTAGTTCACATGTTCAGCTAGCAAAAAGCAACTGCCATACCTTATTCTTCTTAAAGTTTAACCGTTCTTCTGCGCTCCATTTCAGTCTGAGAAAATCCACTTCTACACCATGAGCATGCTACGACCTGATGATAACTCTACAAATGTTGAAGACATCATATTTCTATACCGGTACAATTCTGTTGCATTTTACATCACATTACCGGGATCTCAGTAATTATTAAAATCTTCCAATGACAACTATAAATTTATACTATATCCATTGGCCTCCCAGAGTAGATGACAGCCTAGGACCCTAATAAATTTCTTACTAGTATCTGTCTGGTGTTAATTATTTCCAAAGATTGGCCCATCTATCTGACTTGCTGGTAGCTTACTTTGGTATGGGTTAATATAATATGCATTTGTATTGGACCATCAAGATGTCTCAAAATAACTTCGGATTTGCAATTCCTGGGTCAGACCCATTGATTTCATTGTCCTTGCATATAGTTTAATTTGATAAACCAGGATAATAAATGTACATGCATTCTTGCAGGTTGGTTCCCGGACATGCAGCTCTGAGCTATGGTGATTTTTCTTCCTCTATTATTTTATTCTATGTAATCTTGGGATTCATGCTGGAAATCTTTATTGAAAATCATATGAATCATTTCATATCCTGCAGGGCTACATTGTGCGCTACTAGCAGGTTCGTTTAGGATCTCCTAAAAGTTAAGTGGAAAATTTTTGAACTTTTGTTTGTTGCAATTTAGTCAGTATATGCACAAAATTCTACCAGGTAAATGAATCACGAAACCTAAAATCTCAATGACTATTGGTCTCGAAGGAGTTGCATGTCTCACTGTTTGTAGAACTAATCACACTGTTCATGTAGGTGTCCCAGAGGAAGTGATTAACAGAGCAGCGTTGATCCTGGATGCTTTTGAAAATAATAAGAATGTCGAGCGATTGTGCAATAAGAAAATATCAGCCAAAGACCAGCAATATAAGGTTCTACTTTCAGGACTAAAATCTCAAAAATTAAAAGCATTAACTATCTTAGTGTTGTTTATTGTTTATGAATCCATGAAGTCTCAATAATTGAGCTAAATACAGGCTGCAGTTGACAAGATGTTGGCATTTGATTTACTCAAGGGTGATCTCACCGCCTTCTTTGGAGATATATGGCCACCTTATCCTAATCCTAAAGCATGAAAGGTATCCTTGCACCGTCCCATATATTTTTCTTTAATTTTGGTTAATTTCACATTCTCTCTCGTAGCATCAAAGGAATCTTATTCCCCAATGAGGAGATGAATAATGATTAGCATTCAATTTTCTTTGGGTTCCTTTCAGCTTCTATTAAGAGGATGAGACCCGTACATCATATAAGATAACAGTGAAAGACCTTACCATGCTTAGTTAACTAGTTATCTATCAATGGCATTCTCTGCTTTTTATTTCCACAAAAACAAATTTCATTGCATGAAAATCTACTTGCAATCTAATCAGCAATTAAGCTACATTGGACCAAGGCTGCTTGCTACAATTTTTTATCATCGATGTTATTCTAAATGAATGAAAATATGCATTACAATGGTATACACTAATTTTTCTATTTTTCGTCTTGAATGGATGCTAAAATATCCATAGTAATTTGCTTTGGCTTCTTTGTAATGCGAATCTTTATTCGTCCCAATTCTGTGACTGTAAGCTATTGATTTTTGCTATAACCTTAAGCAGAAACTAGCTGCCTAACATTCATGGGGACACAGTATTGTGAAGGACCATCGAAAAGAGTATCCACAACAATGCGAGCCGTTGCCTCTGTTGGATGATATAAATCCCAGAAAACATGATCTTTCCTGTTGGAGCAATATGTTGAAACGGGCACACAAGGGACTTTAGCTCTCAGATCGCCAAGTCCACAACAGGCAGCTTTTATCTCATTGAACCCTGCAACATAATTGAATATGTCACACTTTACCAAAACTTAAGACAAGTAGGACCAAAAAAATGCATAAAAACGTCATGTCGCATACCGTAAGCCGATGGATTTTGGATGACACCTTGTATGAAACTGTAAGTATCAAAGCAGGAGTAGCTTATGCCTTGAAGCTCTGATTTTAACCCTTTCAACATTGCCTTCAGCCCTTCATTGTACTTAACAGACCAAAAATTACCTTCTTCATTGCATTGGTGGGTTTTGTTTTTAACTCTTTCTGCAGGTATGCACCCAATCGCCCCGATACCAGCTACAAAAAATTTACGTGCCCCAAATGCGTATAGTCTCTGCCAAAACATTGAAATTCAAGATCCAGTTAGCTAATAATGATCAAAGACTAAGTTTCACTAAACAAAATTTGCTATGATTTCTGATGTAAAGATATATTTTTATATAAAGGAGGTCATCGCATGGGATAAGAAAAAATTGCTCGTATTGAAATTTGCTAGAGTTCTTTTTTTTTTTTTTATAACATTGAGTAAGTACATTTGCTTTAAGACAATGATGCTTAGTTACCTTGAGTTGTTGTTTTAGGGCGTTAGCCATCAAGTCTACAAATTGTTGTGGGGTGTTCTTCTTTCTAAGGTCGGAAGATCCAAAGTAATCGAAGAGGTCATTGCTACCTATGATAATTGCGAAAAGAGACTTGGAAAAGTGCTTTTCTGCAGCAGAGGATCCCATCTGCTGCACTAAAATTTGATGCACTGCTAGGTAGTACTCCACTTGCTTTGTCAAAGGTATTGCTTGACGCTGCAAGATTAATCAAGTTTTAGAAAAATACAGCAAATCAACATGCGGGGATAGCTCAGTTGGGAGAGCGTCAGACTGAAGATCTGAAGGTCGCGTGTTCGATCCACGCTCACCGCATTTAATTTTTTCCTTATACAATCAAAAGCCCAGTGGGCCCACCAAATCAGTTTGCATTTGTTGTATGGGGGCCATTCCATATCGAGGGCCCAATTATTTCGTCAATATATTGGAAAAATAAGTATGGTATGAAAGTTCTGCAAAATAACAAGGAAATTTCATGTATAACTCTTCCTTCTTTCACTTACAAGGACTTGATCTGTGCTGTTCAAGATTCCGGCGCCCCCGGAGGCGAAGCTGACACCGTTAATGTATGATGCATCCTTCTTCTCTAACAAGGAAAGATAGGGTGGTGAACTCGGTAACCCTACTTTTTCAGCTGTCCAAAATCTCACATAGAAATCAAATGTTAATGTTATATGGAACAAGGTAAACACAAAATCTAGTAGTAGTTAAACGAGAAGTAACTCAATGTGTCAAAATATAGTTGGTTTCATGAGTTATATTAATTTAATGTATCTTAAATGAAAGTAGGCTGCTTGGTCATAAAAAGTTTGGCTCCACAGTATATTTTTGTTGTTGTTTGGACTAGATATAGTTCTAATTAATTGTATTTGAAGTTAATTGTCTGTTAGTCAAAATCAACTATATAAGATACAGTGATAAAACAGATTGGTCATTTTAGAAAATAATTAACTTGTCAACTTAAATATATAAAGCTACATAATAAGCATCAATCATTAATATTTTAATAATCAATAATATCATTATTGTATAGAAAAAAGCTAAGGAAAGAAGAATTAATATCATAACTTTGCAATAAAAGCTAGTTATAAAGAAGGGTGAAAATGTTGCAAAGATGATGAATTTGTATGGCTATTACATTGAAACTTTTTCTACCAAAAACTCTTCTCGTCATGTGAAGATTTATATGATGATGTTAAAGGGTTGTACTATAACTATCAATAACTATTAAGTTGTTACCAAGAAAATCTGCTGGATTTTTGCCATTACAAAACCTCCCAGTTGGTTTTTTGGTTGGAAAATCAATCCCGTTGTGAGGAAAATCCGCCTTAGCAACAGAAACAGGAAGATAGTTGTTGTTCCCGACATCAACTTGAGAGTCCCCGAACACAAACACCGCTGGCACCATCTGAGCTTTCGAAAACTCCAAACTCAAACTAAACAGAGAGAGGAAGACAAAGAACAAGTTGTTCTTCACCCCAAAAACTCTCAAACCCATTTTTCTATTAGGGTTTAAGAAAGAAAAAGACGAAAAAGAAATGAAATAAACCCTCCACTTAAAAACTTTGGTTAAGGTTTATGTGGTGAGGGCAATGAAGGACTTTACAGGCTTATATAGAGGGGTTTCAGCCCTTTTTATTTTTTAATTTTTTTATTTGAAACAGTCAATGATATGTTTTATATATATATATAAAATTTTGGAGATGTAAAAAGGAAACGAGAAAACGATTCATTGGCGTGGCTTAAGGGAAAAAAAGGGATCTATGAATGAAAGTGTCATATATGAAGAAAAACTGATGACTTAATTTTTTCCTTTTTCTTCCTATTTGACATGATTTTTGAGTTTAAATATATTCCTTTGTTATGGTTTACGTATCTCATCCAAACTCTATTTTTTAATCTAATCTGATGTACGTGTGCAAGGCTGAAAAAATATCATTTTGGATGGTATAATTGCTTTGTTTTAATGTCAACATAGGACAACAATTATAATGTGACCACTCCATCCCTTGCATGTTTCACATGAATTATTGGATGTCCTTTATTAAACCAATTTTCAAAATTTTTGCCTAAAATTGCCTATAGTTAGATTAAACGTAACATCTCGTATTCATACAACAATTTACTTAAAACTTTCGTATTATTCGGTCATTTGGATTTTTGATATTATGTATCATCTTTTGTAAGGATATTAACATGAAAATATACGAATTTTGAAATCAAAGAAATTAGATGAATAAATTTGAACGAATATTTTTTTATATTTAAATTCATTAAAAATTAAGTTTTGATTAAAATTAAAATTTTAATATTCTATCAACATCTCAACGGCACACAAAATTTAATGAAAACGTGTCAAAGAGTCAGCAAAAGTTACGTAAATTAGATTCCAGAAATAATAAACAGTGTTAATCGGTTTGATAAAATTTTGGTCAGCTTAGTTGAATGTGAATCGATGGGGACTTGGTTTTTTTTTTTTTTTCTTGGTTGGATCCCACCAAAAAGATTGTTGTGAGATTCAGACAAACCGAGTGAAAAGAAAGCAACCTATTGAATATGGGGTCCGATTTTCCATTTTGTTGAACATGAAGAAAGTCTTTAATTTCCAGCTTTTGTCTGAAGGCCGGCATAAGCATCTTGTGCAATCTGCAGGTAACTGAAGGGCACCGTCCCATACTCAACCCACTCTTCCTTTTGATACATTTTATGCATCATTTTTTGCATTAGTTTCTTAGAATTTACTTCTAAAATTTTATTGTTTTTTCTGTTAATTTTCAACTAATTCTTCTAATATATCTATCCAGAATCATCTTTATTCAATTTTTTTGTTAGTATGCCATTTTTTGTGGTTCGTATGGGCACATTTTTTTTTTTAGATATTGTTTCAATTTGAAGCTATTTGATAAGGAAAAGATATGGATATGTCATTCATATAATTTGATTGAGGCTATCTCACATTCAAAAACACATATATTATATTATTTATATTTATTTTATTTTTTATTAAAAAAATCATAATTTAAAAATAAAAAATAAATTATAGATATTTAAATTTAAATTACAAATTTATTAAATGTTACATCGAGTTCTAATTTTATTAATTTATACAAATGATTTGGTTTGGTTTTTATTGTTTTGGTTTGTTAACTAGCTACTATATTGAATTTTAGCTAATATAATACAATTGTATTTGATCAATAACAAAAGATTAAACAAATAAGTTGAAATTAATATAATTAATAAATCAACTCTGTAGACACCCAATTTAATTCGGGTCCGGATCAATTAGACCTGATCCAATGAGGTTAGTTAGACCCAAAGATTTATTTATTTATTTATCTTTTATATATTATTTGTTATTTATTTTTTTTTCTTCTTTCTTTCTTTTGTTCTTCTAAAATTTATTCATGATTACTCTTCGATTGCTGATAATGATTAAGATAATAATAGAAAGGGAATATTCTGCCAATGATCGAGATTGACAGAATTACAATAGAATTCAAAGACTCTATGATGAATTTGATGATCTGTGAAACTTAATCAAAATGGGAGTCCGAATTAATCACAAATTTTGTGATTAATCCCTATAAATACACATTAATCAAAGACAACAAGGGAGAAGAGAAAAGAGAAACGCAGAAACACAAAGAGACGAATCAAAAAGCTAAAAAACAGAAGGCAGAGTCTAGAAATATTCTATGAGTGGTTAGAAGCAATTTAGAAATTTTAAGAATTTTTTGTGTTTTTTTTTTTTGGAAAATTTTTGAAATTTTTTCAGAATCCGGTGAAATTTTTTTGACGAGATTTAAGTTTTTCGATTAAGTATTCCGGCTAACTTTGAAGTTTTCCATGGCTTTTTCAGATTTCGACAGAACTTCAATCGAAATTTGGATTTTGTTTAGAGAAAAGGGGGAGAAAAAGAATAGAAGAGAGAGAAGAAAAAAGACGCATCTACTGAAAAAGGCTTAAATTTGACTTTTATAGTGCCATAAAATGACGTCATTTTGATGTTTCCATTCGGACCAACCGCCCATTACGCTGACTCGTTTCAGCCCACTTCACGGATCCTACTGTTGAGCGAGCCAATTGCCAGCTGAGCCGCGTTTTGAGCCGTAGTTTTTGTTTTAACCTGAGTCGATCCCAGCCGCAAGCCAAGCTGTTTCCATTTTTTTGGTATTTTTTTATTTTTTAAAAAATTTTGTGTTTATTTATTTTAGAAGTATTTTTTATATGGTTTAATTTAATAAAATAATAAAAATAACAATTTTGGGAATAAATATTAATTATCTAATGATGGAATTTATATTAATTTCAAATGGTAAACTTTTATAAAATTTTTATGTAAGAAATTTTGTCTAAATTTGTCTCAAATTGTGAAATAATTTAGATAAAATTTTAATAACAATAATTAATATTTATTTTCAAACCAAAAAAATTAAAAACATAAAAAGTATAAAAATATAAAAATTTTTGGAATTAAATACAATTTACCCAAGAATGGGATTTTTAAAAATTTTAAAAAGTAAATTTCTAAAAAATATCTAGGTGAGAAATTTTCTCTAAATTTAGCTCAATTTGTGAAATAATTTAGATGAAATTTTAATACAAAAAAAATTGTATTCTTTTCCAAATAAAAATTTGGACTAAAAATATTTGATAATTACCCATAGATGAGATTCTTAAAAATTTCAAATGGTAAATTTCTAAGAAATCTCTATGTGAGAAGTTTTTTTTAAATTTGGCCCAAATGGTGGAATAATTTAGATGAAAATTTTCAATAAAAGTAATTGTCATATTATTTTCTTTTTAAAGAAAAATAAAAAGAATTTTTAAATAGGCCTAAATGGTGAAAAATTTTAGAAATTCAAAAAGAAAAAATATTTCTAATTTGACCCAAATAGTGGCTTAATTAGATATATTTTTTGACAAAAAAATAAATAAATAATTAAATATTTTTCCAACGACGGAGCTTCTTCAAAGAAATAAATGAAATTCTTGAATCCTCTTGAGGTGAGAAAATATTTTTTTAAAAAAATTCTACCAGATTGATGGAGAATCTTAAAAATTGTTTCCAATATTTAACTTAAAATTTGAAACCATTAGACTTAATACCTTAGGATAAATTCAAAATAATATGGTACTATCTTCGGATGGGCACGTGGGGGTGCTATAACCTTCTCCATATGTAATCGACTCCTGAACCCTGTTATGGTTAGTAGACTCAAACATATTCTTTTAGGGACCTTTAAGCTTAGGTGTTCCTTAAAATGATAGATTCTTTAAGTGAACAATCACACCTAGTAAAAAAGATTGGTGGCGACTCCATTCATTTATTAAGTCTAGCTATAGATTCACGGATCTATATGTTATGACAGTTTGGTGACTCCACTGAGGACGCTAAAGAATCAAGCCATAATTTTTGAATTTATCTTATCCTTTGAACTAATGATTTTAAGTTATTTGTTTATTAACGTTTTTCCCTTTTTGTTTCTTATTTGATTTATGGGGTCGATAACCATATGTTCATTCACACACACTATCGCATTACATGAGCTTTATGTCCGAGCTTCGTCCTTCTTAGGGGGGAGTAAAGTACCTACGCTCTCATGAGATGATAATCTTCACAATGGCTAGTGAAATACTCTCACTCAAATTGAATCATTTCCTTTGGTAGCCTGTGATGGATGAAGATTGGAATACCTTACTAGTCTGTGATGGATAATGATGAAAGAACAATTTGGAAACCTTTTAGTGGTCAAAAATCGCCTAACCTTGCATATAGTTCACCCCTAAGAAACCAACCTAAGATAGATCCGTTCCTATCCATCAATATATATATCCAAAATTAGGACATAAGAAGGAACAGTTTGTTATCTAACCATTTTGTTTGCTTGATTTTGTGCATCTATACAATCTCCATGTCATTTCATTCTATGCATTACTTCCATTCTCATGTTCTAGTATTATCATATCATTTCATTCTATGCATCATTTTCATGATCATGTTTAACATTATCATTTGTATCATTCTCATATAGAAATATTTACCACATATCAGTTGTTAATAAATCAGATCTCACACTTACATCCATAAAAAGCCAAATGCAACCAAAGTCTACATCAATCCATTATAAGTCTGCTTATCAATTAAAAATCAAGTCAGAGGAAGGTCAAAGAGAACAAAAAATTGCTTGCCTAAGGGTTTTATTTCATCATTACTCGAGAAAGTTCATCTTGAGCTACAACAAAATGATTTAACCAACTTAAACAGTATTTGGGGATGCATGAGTAAAATAAAGCATGAGGCATTTGAGAATAGATATAGAGAGATAGCTTCACTGCTTCAAGTAAAAATGGACTATAATGTGATTAAAGCCATCATTCAATTTTAGGATCATTCTTATAGGTGTTTCATTTTCAATGAAATAGATATGGTACCTATAATTGAAGAGTATATGATCTTACTTCACTTCGATTTACCAAATCCAGACAAGATTTATTGGTCCAATAAGGTGGGCTATCGTAAAAAGTTAGTGCAAATGCTTAGACTTAGCTTGCCTCAAGTCGATG